GGGAGGGCGGGGCCTGGAGCTCCCTGCTGGTGCCCGCTGGAGGTCGCCGCCGGCTGAGGGGAGGACACACTTCCGGTGATGTCAGGGGGTGTGGCATATGCTAATGAGTTATGCTAATGAGTCCCCCTAGCTCTTTTTCTACGAAATGACCCCTGCCTCTGGTGAAGACTAAAGGGATTACTGGGCTAATTTACATATTAATATGTTGCGAATGGTGAGCTGCTACAAAGACTTGTAAACAGAAGTGGTAAAATAATTGATTCCATATCAGAAAGCACACCTGAGCATAAGGATGTGCATGGTGTTGCACTACTTGTTTGTGCTGTGGTGACAGGGGATTAACAATGCCAGGTGGGGAGGGGCTGTTAATTAATTAATTAATTAATGTATGGCATTGTGTGTAGAGTAGCCTTCTCCAAGTCCTGGGCATGGCATCATAGGCCAGCTCTAGGTTGGGCAATACCTGGAGATTTGGGGCCTGAGGAGGGTGGGGTTTAGGGAGGGGAGTGTATAGAAATATTGATTTCTAAAAGTCTCCTGCTTTCTCCTGTGATGTCTTTCTGATAACAGGCTGTGCCTTATTTCCTGTTGCAAGCCAAATGGTGGGCCAGATGGCCTGAACAACTTTATAACCCACATTCTTCACACTTCCATGCTAGAAGCTAGACCTCATGGCTCCACACTCTGACCCACTTGCGACTAGTCATGTACACAATGAAGTAGCTGGAGGTTGGGTCAGATGACGGCAGGTGGGGTCCCAAACTTATAGCCTATCCCCACACACAGCTATGACAACCAACAATTGGGCACACCCCCTGTCCACTCATGATTGGCTGAATGGCCACAGCGAATCATGATTAGATTGGGGTATAATTGTTTGATCCCTGTGGGAGGGAGTCTCTTCCTCTTGTTCTCGAGTCTCTTGCTCTTGCTTTCTCCCCTGTCATTGTCTGTTTTATTGCACCTGAAATGCTGTCTCTTGGAAAAGAAAGACCTGCTTTGTGAATTGGACCACATGCTTGTGCAAAGATGGGATTTCCCTTCAAAATCCCTTGGTATATACTTGGACTGTTGGATGTTCCTGAATTTGATAACTATGAATCTCATTAATGTGTAGTTAAGGCAAATTGCCCTAGCCTTTGTTGTTTTGTAATCTCCTAGTCTGTTTGCTGTGCTCTGTACTGAATAAAGATCCTTCTTATTTCTAATGGTCTCTGATGTTGTAACTTAAATTCCAAGTCTAAGTCTTGTGCCTAACCCTGACCACATATGCTACCATGGGAGGGTAAAAAACGTGCATCTCTGGATTGAGTTGCTAATGTGTTCTGTCCCAGATGCCAACTAAGGGTTTGGAATCTCTTCCCTTAGGAAAAGCAGGGACTAGTGAAAAGAGGTTCTGTTGGCAAATTGTCTGGAAACCAGAGAGGGTATAGACCATCTCGTGGTTTGTTGTTTAATATACTGAAAAGTACAGGATTCCCTCTCATCCCTGGACTGGCCTGAGTGGGCTAATCCTGTACAGGGAGGGTCTTCAGTGGGGTATAATGCCATAGAGTCCACTTTCCAAAGAGGCCATTTTCTCCAGGTGAACTGATCTCTGGGTGAACTGATTAGTTGTAATCCCAAGAGATCTCCAGACACTACCTGCAGGCTGGCAACCCTGTATGAGCACCAGCTCTGAGCTGGCTAGATCCGGTGTAGGAAATGAATAGGTATATGACAGACCGATGTTGTATGTTGGACAGCAGTTTGGTTTTGGCTATAGGAGACGAAAGTCAAAAATCCTGACTGGTCTTGTAGAAGTCATGGCCCACAATCCAGCAGCACACAGTGAAATTAATGGACCTGAACCTGTTTTCACTTTGGTGTGGGCTCATTGCCATAACTTTCTATCTGTCAGCTATGAACTGCTGTAAGGAGGGTAAATGAGATGAGAATCATAAAACCCTTTGGATGCTGGGTAGTCCTAAATAAATTACTCCTTATTAATCACATGTCTATTCTACCTTTTCTCTAAGGAGCCAAAGGCAGCCCACATACACACACCCCATTGTTCCATTCCCCCCCCCCCAAAAAACCCCTGTCACGTCATTCATTATATTTATGGGAGGGTTTGTATCCTTTCTTTCCTTGCACCCAAGTGGCTCGTATCATAGCAAAACAATACATGCTGTTGTTTTATCATCTCACACGGACATTCTAGTTTTTAAAATTAATTGCGCAATGGCCTTTGCCTAAAAGTAATAAATACTTTCTTCTACTCCTTTTTATTATTAGCTGCCTTGAGCAGGCCTCTGGAGAGACGGCCTACAATTCTTCTAATGAATACTTAAAAAAAATACAATCTAGTAATTTTGGGTTAGGCAGAAAAACAGTGAGTGGCCCAATAACCACGAATGAAGGCGGGCTAGCAAATGGCTATGGGCAGGGTGGTAGGCTTGTTTCTGTTTCTGACTGAATTTTCAGCTGAGCTACTCCTTTAAGAGTATAGTTCTTCAAAGGGTAACAATACTAGAACTTAGTACTGAGATAGCAATACTGATTTTATGCCAGGGATGTAGGACCAGAGCTTTCTCGTGCAACCCTATGGGTTTGACACCCTCCCCGGTGAATTTTGACTGGAAAAGGGGTGGGGTTCTGTTTCTTGGTTTGTCTGGTTTTTTGTGGTCTCTGTAAGGGTGCCCTAGAAGGTGGTTGAAGAAAAGGAAAAGAGAGAGGTTTCTGAGGAGAAGATAAAGGTCTGTAGAAAAAGGGAAGAGGAAGATTTCTGAGGGAAAGAATGGGCTTTCTGTGTGCAGAGACGACTGTACCTTGAGGAAATCTATAGCAACACCAAGTGTGACATCTACCAGGCCTGTAGTCAGGATTTTGTGGCTTGTGAGGCAATTTTTTTTCTGGTGGGGTGGAAGTTCTCAGTGCAGAAAGAAAAGCCATTTAGCCAATAGAAAGGAGTTACCAGGAGAGATCTCTAAATTGCGAGCTGTCAACCACTTTAGATGACAGTTCTCAGCTGCTGCAAGTTAATCACTTCTGCCAACCTAAGCAAAAATTCTGAGAACAAGCCAGTGGGTGGGGGTGATTGCTTCTATAATCAAGAAAGCTAACACTTAGGCAGAAAAACCTCTCTTAAAGGAGACCAGTTTCTTGACACAGAGTTAGAAGGGATTCTAGAGGTCACCCACTCCAACCCCCTTGTTTAGTGTGGGAATTAGCCAAGTACAGCATCCCACTATGCTTAAAGGAATGCACACTGTTAAAAATGTTTTAAAATTATTGGAAAAAGCATTTACAGGAGAAATTCTTATGGGGCTGTGCCTTTAAGAAAGGGGGTGGAGCCCCCCAAAGCCCCACTGTAGCTACAGGCCTGACAGCTACACTGCCCCCCCCCATATGATGTTTTGTATGGAGGGTAGAATGATTAGAAAATAGTTTTTTCGTACCTTTAGTAAAGACACACATTGAAAAGTGGCCCTTTGTTTGGTTTTGAAAGTCCCTCCCCTTAGCAGATCTGTGCACATGCCGCAAACGGCTTAATTTCTCTCAAGTACATTAACACCAATAAGCTCTTGTTACATAACCAGGAATACCCTGGGACTGCGATCCTCGTGGCAAACTTTACCGCATCATAATTATTTCAGTGGACATCTGAGTACAAGATTCCCAGCCTAATTCTTAAAAGCTTTTTCATTAATATTCCATGGCCTTTCCAAGGGTGTAATGTGTCTGGCCGTGACATTAAATGAGGAAGCTGTTGGAAGGGGTGGGATGTCAACAAATTTATCCACCAATAGCACACTCCTTTGGCACAAGAGCCTGTTCTTATCTTTACATCCCATAATGAGAAGGCATAGCCAGGATGTGTCGCTGTAACTCCCTGGGTGGGTAGATGTACAGCTGCGAAGAAGAGGAGGAAGAGGAGGAGGAAGAAGAGGAAGGAGAGCCATTCATGCTTTCCTTACATTTCTTCTGCTTTCCCTGACAGAGAAACTCAAGTTCTGTATTTCCCCCCCTGTGGTTTGCCTAAGCAGCGTTAAGAGGAAACTTCTTTTCGCATGATGTCAGACTGCGAGGGAATGGCTGTGGGTAAGTGCCAGATTTATATTTACCACACTGTCCTGAAGTCTAGTTCATATTCTCGGATTGCAAAGGCAACGCATTAGAAACCCGCTTAGGTTTTGAAGGAAATATTCACTCAGAGCAGAGGAAGAATCAGCATTTAAGCAGATTCCCCAACCCCCTTTTTAGTTTAGGCCTGAATTTTTTAAATTTTGCATAGTCATTACTGAAAATAGGCTTCAGAGGTTGCATGCTGTTTATATTTGACTTTATATAAAGCGAAGGGTCATAGATGGATGGATTTAAAAATCTGCAGCCGAAGTTGCTGGGTAGGTAGTGACGGTGATAAAGGGAAAGATGGCTTCTCCTGCGCAGAAAAATGTCAGTGCCCCAATTTGTCCTTTGGAGCACTCAGAAAAGAATGTCTGGGAATGGGACCAGAAACAAGCATCTTACTGTAACCTACTTTGATCATTTCCCAGTTGCGAAAAAGCCTGCAAAGAAGGTGGCGCACAGTCATATTAAAAATAAATGCACTGCAGGAAGAAAAAAATACATACTTAATAGGCTTCTGGTTGAAAATGAATCATTTGCTTCATTCTGTTGTGGAACACAGTGTTGTTGGGAGGGAAGGGTCAGCACCAGGCACCTGGTCGCCGGCGAGGGAAGGTGGGGGGGTTGCCAGCTCCAGTTAGGGGAACACCTGGAGATTTGGGGGGTGGAGCCTGGGGAGGACAGGGATCTCAGTGGGGCACAATGCCATAGAATCCACCCTCCAAATAATCCATTTACTCCAGAGGAACTGATCTCTGTAGTCTGGGGATGAGCTGTAATTCTGGGAGATCTCCAGGGCCCACCTGGAGGTTGGCATCTGGAAAGGTGGCTCAGAAGTAGAATATCTGCTTTGCATGCAGAAGGTCCCAGGTTCAAGCCCTGGCATCTCCAGTTTTAAAAAGGAACACGTAGTAGAGGATGTGAAAAACCTGTCTGGGTCCTTGGAGAGACCCTGCCAGCCAGAGTAGACAATACTGAACTTGAGAGACCAATAATCTGACTCATTATAAGGCAGCTTTGGGTACACGTGGGTTTCCTATGAAGACTTCCATCAAGGCACTGAACAGCAATGTGTGCCTTTTAACAAGGGGTCATTTCGTAGAAAAAGAGCTGCAGGAGCTCATTAGCATAACTTATTAGCATATGCCACACCCCCTGACATCACCGGAAGTGTGCACCAGCCCCTCTGACAGGCAGAAGCACCTGGGATCCATTCTTTAGAGGCGGGAGCCCTTCCTCCCTTCGTTGGTGGTGTTCTGAGCCCACTTGGGCCCCCCCCCCTTTATTTTTAAAAAAGTCATTCCCTGTGGCTTCACAGCAGCTGCAGGGAACATAAGAACATCAGAAGAGCCCTGCTGGATCAGACCAGTGGTCCATCTAGTCCAGCATCCTGTCTCACCCAGTGGACAACCAGTTCCTCTGGAGGGCCAACAACAGGGCAGAGAGGTTGAGGATGTGGCCTCCCAGCTCTGGGATTCAGAGGATTAGTGCCTCTGCATTTGGAAGTTCCCCTCAGTCACCACAGCTCAGTAGCCATTGATATCTGATCCTCTAGATAGACTGAGTCCTAGTCGACATAATCCATCAAGACCAAGCAGGCTTTTGACCAAAAAGACAGATTAAAAATAATATAAGGGTCATCCTGAATGTATTAGAATATTATGAGTTACACCCAGGAAAACAAGTAGCACTTTTATTCTTGGATGCTGAAAAAGCCTTTGACAGAGTGAACTGGGATTTTATGTTACAAAATTTTGCAAATTGGGATTGTGGGGAAAACTTTTATACGATGCTTAGAGCAATATATATGACTCAACAAGCAAAGGTGATTGTGAACGGCGATACGACACAAAATATACAAATTCAAAGAGGTACGAGGCAGGGTTGTCCCTTGTCTCCGTCATTATTTATATTTACGTTGGAAACTCTAACAGACCTAATTAGGAATCACAGTCAGATAAAAGGACTCAAAGTTAAGGAGGAAGTGTTTAAAGTACAAGCGTTTGTGGATGACTTAGTATTTATAATAGAGGACCCGATTGAATCACTTCCTTAACTATTGGAAAGCATTGAAGAATATGGTAAAGTTAATTATAAAAATTATTGGAAAGCATTGAAGAATATGGTAAAGTTAATTATAAAAAAGAATATGGTTAAGAATATGGTTAAAGTTAATTATAAAAAAACAAACATAGTGACAAAAAACTGTACAGAAAATCAAGATTGCCAGATTCAAAATTTATCCTGCATGAATATAGTTAAAAAAGTGAAATATCTTGGAGTGGTGATATCGAAAAGAAATATCACACTGATAGAGGATAATTATACAAAACTGCTCCACAATATAAAAAAAGATTTATTGAAATGGGAAGTGTTAAAATTATCATTTATGGGCAAGATAGCCCTAATAAAAATGAACATCTTACCAAGATTTCTCTTTCTTGCCCAAAATTTACTGGTATTAAGGAATATGAAGCTTTTTAAAGAGCTGGATGCGATGTGTAAAAAATTTGTATGGGCAAATAAATCAGCACGTATTAAGTGAAAAATTCTACAGGATAAAAAAAAGAGAGGAGGCTTTGGAATACCCAATTGGAAACTATATTATTCTGCAGCAGTAATGGGATGGATTAAGGATTGGGCAACACTAGAAAATAAAAGACTCCTAACTTTAGAAGGCCATGATATGGTTATAGGATGGCATGCATACCTATGGTATGAAAAAGAAAAAATACACACAAATGTTACAAAGCACACGTTAAGAGGCACACTACACAAGACTTGGAAAGAAATTAAGGAACGTTTTTATATGCAAATTCCGAGATGGACATCTCCATTAGAAGCGTTCATTAAACCTTCTCTTATGATTCACTCAAAAAAGATAAGTTATGAAGAGTTGCTAGATGATGAAGACAATTTGGTCTCACAAGATATTCTCAAGAAGAAAGATATAATCCTGACGTGGATGGAGAACATGCAGTTAAGTGCAAGATATGACATAGATAAAAATAAGGGCTTTTATCATAGAAAATCCGATTTGGACAAGTTATGGTTATCCACAAATGATAAGCTAATTCAGAAGCTGTATAATTTCCTTCTCGATGACTATGTACATGATGAAACAATAACAAAATCCATGTTTTCGTGGATGCAAGACTTTGGATGTCCTAAAGACATAGATATAGATACCTGGTCCAAGACATGGAAATCATTGAAATATTTAAGATCGATCCCATATAAGGAAAATGTTTATAAAATGAGTCATAGATGTGGTCTCACAAGATATTCTCAAGAAGAAAAATATAATCCTGATGTGGATGGAGAATATGCAGTTAAGGGCAAGACATGACATAGATAAAAATAAGAGCTTTTATCATGGAAAATCCAATTTGGACAAGTTATGGTTATCCACAAATGATAAGCTAATTCAGAAGCTGTATAATTTCCTTCTCGATGACTATGTACATGATGAAACAATAACAAAATCCATGTTTTCGTGGATGCAAGACTTTGGATGTCCTAAAGACATAGATATAGATACCTGGTCCAAGACATGGAAATCATTGAAATATTTAAGATCAATCCCATATAAGGAAAATGTTTATAAAATGAGTCATAGATGGTACTTATCACCAGATAAGCTGGCAAAATGCTATCCGAATTTATCAGGAAATTGCTGGAAATGTAAAAACAACGTGGGAACTTTTTATCATAGTTGGTGGAAATGCACCATAATACGAGGTTTTTGGTATAAGGTACATAAACTTATTCTAGATATCATAGAGCAAGATATACCATTATTCCCAGAACCTTTCTTGTTAAACATGATACCAGATGAATATACCATAGATGATAAGCACGTTATTATATATATATTAACTGCAGTGCATATTCTTGTTGCCAGATACTGGAAGCAAGAGGGAATTCCCTCTAAGAAAGAATTAATATATAAGATATTAGAAGCGGTAGAAATGGATAAGATGACCACAATTTTACATAATAGAGATGATGCTTTGTTTAATCGTAGATGGGAAAATTTTTATAAATGGATAGATAATAACAAAAGAAGGTTATAACAATGTATAAGTACGACTCCAAAAAAATTGTTTTTTCTGAGCTGCAACGCTGGCAACGCCGCTCGGACATCACACGCGAGAGGTGAAATTTCCCCTACCACCCCGGGCTCAGGGAGGCAAGGGAATGGTTTTCCCTGCCCCTCCCCTCGCGCAGGCATCACAGCTGCTGCCGAGAACAGCGATGGCGGCCATAACTTTTTAAAGAGCCCCTCCCGAGAGCTGGGGGAGCCAGAATGGCCTCTCACGTGTGATGTCCGAGCGGCAAATTGAGAGGTTGGGCTTAGAAAGAGTGGCTTGCACTAGGCCTCTACTGCCCCCCAAAGCACAGTGTCATGGTTAAGAGTGAGGGACTCTAATCTGGAGAACTGGGTTTGATTCCCCACTCCTCCAGAAGGGGAGCCCTGCATCACATGTAGGGTTGCCAAAAAAAAACCCAGTTTGCCAAGGGTCCCTCATTTTGGAGGGGGGGTTCTACCCACCCCCAACACCCACAGCCACCCCTCTCCCTTCTCTCTTGAGAGTGAAGGGTGGCTGCCTTTAAATGCTTGGAACCCGTGTTTCCTCCCAAGCCCAATCTTCGCTTGAGATCAGGCTTGCAGGGAAATGCCAGCTTCGTACACTTAAAAGGGAAACGCGGCTCTTTGCTCTTAAAGGGGAAACACCGGCTCTTGCACTTAAAAGGGAAACGCCGGCTCCTTTAAGTGCAGGGAACTGGTGTTTCTGGAGATCCAGCGTGTGTGTGTGGGGGGCAGACGTCCCCAACATGATGTCATCCTGTCGGGGATGCCCTGCCCCCTCCGGGAACGCCCCCAAAGTCCCCCGCTGGGGGTGGAAGATGGACTTGGCAACCCTAATCACATGGCCTTGGGGAAGTCATTCCATAATGGAGGAGCCATA